AAGATCTCTGCTGTTGACATTTGGACTACCCAAGCCATTGTCACCATGCTTGAAGAGGTGGAAGCCCACCACTTTCCAGCAGACTTGGCCACCAAGTTGAATGCAGCCATTGAAAAGTTGGAACCAGTCACTGGAGCTCCTGTGAGGCTTTCCAAAGCCAGCCAAGTGATCAACAATTTACCAGCATGGTTGACTGCCAAAGATTGGACCAGGATGGCATCCAATGTGACCATTCAGGACCAGCTTCAAGTGGTTGCCCAAAGACTAGTATCTATGGGTGTCTCTTCCTTGAGAGAAAATACCAAGTGCCAAGCTGTGGCCATAGTGTTGCACCAGCAGCATTGCTTAGGCAAACCAGAGCTACAACCACATGCCATCCACAGTCTTTTGGGTGATATCCAGGCTTTGCACCAAGATGCAGCCATGGGCAAAGCAGGTGGTGCACCAGCATGCCAGATCTACCCCAATGATCCAAACCAATTGGGGTCCCAATGGCTGGCCAAACGCTATGGCCAAGAAACTCCAGAGTGTCGCGCAATTCCATTGGCTGCCATGATGAAGAAGGCCTGACCCATAAACCTTGGACATCTTTTCTGCAATTTGAAGTTTTCAATGTATATATGTGTGTATATGTCACATTCCCTACATTTTTTCTGTGCTGTGCCTCCATCAGGTGGCATGCAGAGGCAACAACAAGATGCTCCAGGGCAAGCATCAGGAAAAGCAACAGGCCAGAACTACCAGCACCACTTCCATGCAGGAGCCAAGTCAAATGGACAGGTTGGAGAAGCTGCTGCAGAAGTATGCCCCTGCAAGGGCAGGACTACCCTTGCTGGATGCCAGTCCAGCAAGTAGCCAACCTGTGGTGCCAACTCCTGCAAGGTCCACTGCTGCCCCTGCTGCCACCATTGCCCAGCCTTCAGAGCCATTGCCATTGGCAGATGTGCAAGAGAAGGCAGCAAGTGCTCCAGAGGAGTGAATTCCTGATTGCTGCCATGAACAAGCAAAATTTTCTTTTAATTGTTATGCAATAAAACTTATATTTTCTAATGTTTCTTTCCAACCCTGGGAGGAAGATCACAACCAACAGACTTTGGAGGCCATGGAGAATGCACACTTCGATGCTTTACTGCAGCAGAAGAAGTGCAAGGGCATGAAGAGACCAGCAGCTTCAAATGCCTCAACTGCTGCTGTGGGCAAGCACCCTGCCAGCACTGCAGCCATGGGCCCAGCCAAGAAGCCAGCCACCAAATGTGCTGCCAGCAAAGCTGCTGCCAAGAAGTCAGCTACACCAGTTACCAAACTGCATGCCAAGAAGCCCAAACATGGTGGGCCATATGGATGCGTGAGATGCAGAGGAAACAAGCAAGGTTGCAGCAGCTGTTGGCAGCCCAACTTTGCTGGTGTCAGGTTGCCATCCAGGGAAGAATGGCGAGCCTACATGAAAGCCAATGGCAAGAAAGTCTGAGCCAGAACAATACCATGGAGAGAGCCATTCCCAAACTATGAGTGGCATTCTTTCCCTGTTGGGGCAGGATCCCAGTAATACTTGCTGAAGAGATCCAGGGGTTTTCGAGACCTGCAAGAAAGCAAAGCTTCAGGCAAAAATTCAATGTCATTGTTGTATCCAAAGACCACAGAGGTCATCTGTTCATGGCTGCATCTGCTTGCATCAAAGGCCATCTAGGCCATGGAATATAGCCAACTCAGTGCTGCAAGAGTTGCACCTTGTGGCTGTGCAGCTTGCTTTGCCAACACCCTTTCACACATGATGGACAATGACATAGCCAAGAGGCCATTGTACACCAACTAAGTTGGAAAAGGCCACATATACATTGCACATGGCATGTGGTGATGTGACAGCTGATATGCTTAGGTGGTTCATGCAGTATTTAGCAACACAACAGGTAACAGCAATTGATATCTTTAACTTCCAACTTTCAGCTTTTTGTGCCATGACCTCCAACATGGAATCTGAGCATGCCTCCAAGAGGATCAAGCTGGAGCAATTGCTTCAATTCAAGGCCAAGCTGCCAGCCCACAGCCAATCAGCACTGGAAGCAATCCTACAGGAAGCCAGTAAATCTGGCATTCCAGATTTGGTGTCATCTAATCACCAAAGAGAAGCAAGGTTGCAGCTGCTGGGAGATTACCATGGTGGATCACTTGGCCCACTCATCCAGCAGAGCACATTGGAGCTGGAAGATGGGTCCACTGCACCCATGTACTACACCAATTTACTGGTCTACATGGCCAACCTCTACCACAAGAACACAAGCTTCACCAAGCTCATCCAGGAGTGCCACAGGAGGTCTCCAAGCACCATAGACCAACCATGGGGTTTATGTTTATACTGCGATGAGATAATTCCAGGCAACATTTTGGGGAGAGCTGAAAGAAAAACATGGTGCATATACAGCACCATTGATGCCTTTGGCATCCACATGCACCAGGAAGACTCTTGGCTGACATTGGCAGTGGAGAGAAGCTCATTCGTATCCACTGTCAATGGTGGCATCAGCCAAATGGTTGCCACCATCCTCACCAGCATCTTTTGTTGCCCAATTGCCAACCCAAAGGTTGGATTCACCTTGAAAAGTTCCACAGGGGATGTCACAATATTCCTAAACTTCAAAATGATGTTGTGTGATGGAGCTGCTCACAAGCAGGTGTGGGCCAGCAAAGGTGATTCTGGCCAGAAATTCTGCCTGATGTGTTCCAATGTGAGGAGCCATCCACCCAAGCAAGACCAAGACCAAGAAGAGGCTTACACACAGCCACTGAAATACCATGAGTTGCAGCTGGTACAAGATGAAGAGCTTCTGGCCAGCTACCAGAGGATGGCAGTCAGGCATGGGACTTGTTCCAAACAAGATTTTGCCACATGGCAGGTAGCCACAGGCATCACTTTCTCAAAGCATGCTCTTTTGTTGAATGCCAAGCTGCTTGCAGCCCAAGTGCTGAAGCCCATTTCACAATTTTGCCATGACTGGATGCATGGAGTGCTGCAAGGCACTGCACCCATTGTGTTGTACCATACATTGGAAGCCATATTTGCTCACATGGACATCTACAACTTCTTGGAGGAATATTTCCAAAGGTTCCAATTTCCCAAAGCATGGAAAGCCAGCCATGTCCATTCCTTGTTCACCAAGAAGAAGGTGGAGAAGTTCAGGAAAGCCAACAAATTTTCTTGCTTGGCAAGTGAAATTCTGGCCATTTATCCAATTGTGAGGCATTTGATCCATGTGCACTTGGAACCGCGAAAACTTTGCCCAGAGGCTTGCCAGGCATTCTGCACCATGGCAGAAATTATTGATCAGTGCCATGGTGGTACACAATGGAAAGTAACCACAAGAGCTTCCTTGCTGGAAGCCATTGAAGCTGGAAACCAAGCTTTTGCCCATGCATTCCCCACAGTGGGCATGATAAAGAAGTGGCATTGGCATTTGCACCTTCCAGACTCCTATGCCAGGTATGGCCACTTGCCATCTTGCTTTACTTGTGAGCGCAAGCACAAAACTATCAGCTCTTTTGCCACCAGATTGCAGCATACCCAAGGATATGAAATCAATTTGCTCCAGCAGGTGGTATCCAATGAAATCATGGCATTGCAACAAGAAAATGTTTTTCCAAATGCAGCCACATTGGTGAAACCCAAGAAGGCAACCCAGAAGCAAAAAGACATAATTTCCATTTTCTTGCTTGGGCCTTGTGAAGATGCATTTTCTTCCATGTGTGCAAGACTTGCCCAAGGAGGACAAATTTTCAATGAAGATGTCATTATTTACCAAAAAGGTTCAGAATGGAGAATTGCACAAGTCCAATTCCATGTGCAAATTTGTGGCACCCAAGCAACTTTGGTCCAGGTGTGGGAGATCCAAGAATACCATCTGGACAAGCAATATGTCAAGTGCAATGTCTCCAGCCAATATGGGTTTATTTCCTTGAGCAGCATCCTGTTTCCAGTGACTTTTGCCAAAGGCAATGATGGAGCCAAAGTGCTGCTTCCTTATCCACTCTATGCCAAAGCTTCCAAAAGCTAATCACAAATGCTTTGGGGACAGAAAAAAAGTTGCTCACTGTATTTTTTGCAAAGGCCATGTTTGGCCATTCTATAGCTGTCTCTTGGGCAAAGGCCTTCTAGGCCATGTACCTTTTGCAAAGGCCATGTTGGCCATCAAGTCATGGATTATTCAGTTGGTATGTGCTTTCAATTGATTTTGGAAACAAAAAAAGAAAACAAGAAGCATTTTCTTTGCTATTGCATGCCTTTTGTTGTAGCCCTGAACACAAGAATTAAGCCCTTTTTTTACATAGCCAAAAAAAGTTATAACTAGTTAGCTAGAGTTAGCAAAAAGATATAAAAGTTAGCTAACTCAAGTTAATTATGTTAACTCCTTATAACAAAGCCAGGAATGTAAGTACCCTGTTCTCGATCTAAAGACGCGAGTTAATGTGTGTTGTGTGAATTTGGGGCACGGATACCTTTTGAGAAAGCATGTGGATATATATATATATATTTACACTGTATTTATAATATGTCTTAAATTACATATATGCACGACTATGATAATGATCATGACAATGAAGATCATGCCGACAACATTCGTAGTTGCACCTTACAACAATGACAACAATGTATATATATATATATGTTTATATGGGTAAACGCCCCCGTTGTTAAAGATGAAAAGGGTCAATGCTTTCTATGCCGCAGCTTTGGCTTAGCGTCGTGATGGGAGAGTCTGGGTCTCGACTTTCCTGTGGGTGCCAGTTGTGTCTTACCTGGCGCCGGCTTGGTGAGGAGATTCACCTGGGCCACGACAGCCTGAGTTTTCAGCAGCTCGCGTTGGGGCACTTGAGGCATTGTTTCAACGAGTTGCTGGATTGGAGAGAGGCGCATCGTCTCGAGCTCTGGAAACCCTTGAGAGGGTATCGCAGCCACTGTGCCTGCTAGTTCTCTTGGAGTTGAAGCTGACCCTGAGAGCCAACGTGAGGAGGAGAAGATTAGCACTGCAGTCACTAAGGAGAAGAAGACAGAGTCCAAGGAGGTCAGAGACGAGAAAGTTAAGAAGGAGAAAAAACTCAAGTCCACGGATCGCCGATGCCGGTCTAGGAGTAGCCGAAAGCAGGCACCTAGGGAGAGGAGAAGATACCGAGAGAGCTATAGTTCAAGCCACCAACGGAGAAGGAGAGGGTGCTCCCGCAGTTCAGATCAGGTAGAGGTGAAAGAGGAACCGCCTGAAGCTGAGCTTACCAGAAGGGCGACTGAGGCAGTCAGAGGAGACACCGAGGGAGCTGAGAGGAGGACGCCAAGGCCAGAGGAGAGAAAGAGTGCGAGAACTGAGGACTGACTTCGGAGCTGGGCTTGATCGTCCACCAGGGCGGTGGATTGCTGGCGGTGAGCGAGCCCCACCAGAACCAGCTCTTCCTCCTAGAGATTCACGGCCGCCGGAGACCCCGGGACCTCCACCAGGTTGGAGACCATTTCCTGGATCAAATCAAGGTAGATCGAGAGGGATCACCCGGCGTGTGAGAAACAGTGACATTCTTAGGTTTGGACCTGACCCTGCGCGCAAACGCGCTCGGGAACAGAACCGCCGTAGATGAGACAGGGACCAGCAGCATCACGGGGCATTTTGCGCCGTACTGCAGCACTTGAGCAGTCACTAGAAGGCGAAAGGAGGAGAAGATCAGCATTTAGGGAAGAATTGGAGGACAAGGAGGGTGCGACACAGGAAGCGGTAGAGGGAGCGTTGAGGAGATTCCTTAGAAGAGAAGAAAAGGAGGAGAAGAGAGGGCTCAAAGGCATCGAAAGAGGAGCAGGAAGCAGGCAAGGAAGAGACCAAGCAACAGGAGAAGGTTCGAGCGAAGGCAAAGGACAGCTGCAATGGGTGCAGCCAAGAGGCAGATCAGAAGAAGAACTCTCGAGAGTGGAAGTAAGGGAGGGGCGCATCAGGTATGAGAGCCCGAGAAAAGGAGAAGGTAAAGAAGCTACGGAGCATCTCCTGAGAGAGGGAGAGATAATTGGGCTAAATAAGGTATCAGAAGAACAACTCCTGAGAGTGGGAGCGAGAGAGGAGCCCACCAGCTATGAAACCCTCAAAAGGTTACACTTTAAACAGGCCAGGGAGCCCCTCCCGAGAGAGGGAGAGAGAGGAGAGCTAGCTATTCCAGATCGGTCAAAGGTAGGAGCGCAGACAGAAGAGGAGAGAATGAGGAAAACTTCCTTCTCGACAAGGACCCCAAGGACTGGTGAAGCAGCGCGACGCAAGCTGGTGAAGGCGAGGACTTCTATAATATAACTTCTGACAATGCAGTGAGAGTGACGGGCAGTGAGGCGAAGGGAGAGGCATTCTCCCGATCCTAGTTTCACTCAGCCATCAGTAGCTGCCACTGCTGAAGGCTCTTTTTGCAGCACAGTGGGCCTGACCGGGCCTATTCTGAAATTCGTGCATAACGCTGTTGTAGCCGGCCTATTTTCGAAGAAGCCGCAGACCTAGGCATGGGCCAGGCCTGACCGGAAAAAGGGCGACTGCGATGTCAGGGATGGTAAGGTGACTATGGAGGATTTTTGAGCCTGGCTAGCGGAAGGGTGGACGAACTTCTTATGAGGCTCTGCAAGGCCATGACCACGGGCAGATAATTTTCTCTGCCCACGTCCCCCACCGTGTTAAGCCAGCTGTCTCTTTTCCCAAAGTCAGCAGTTTCTAGGAAGGCACTGCGGTGTGCGTATAGTAGGAGGGTACTACGCGACCGTGCCTTGTTTTTGAGTTTCCGAAATGTTTCCTTCAAGGTTTGCTGAAGTAATGAGAACCTGTGTCATTGTGTGGGTTTAATCGCTTTGCCCCTTGCGGGGGCTAGTAACCAAGGGTTGACGGCGATGGGATTTGTTTTGAAAAAGTGAATGTATTTGTGTGGTTGTGCTCCCGCTAGAGGGGTAGTGTGATTTTTAATATTACTGGGTTGATTCTCACAATCAACAAGGCTGGGCTGTGGCATCCGCTTGTAGGCAGCAGTTTTCTGTATGGGGACTGACTGTCTGTGGGATGAAGAGCGGAATGATGATCTCGCGTTTGTAAGCTGCGTTTTGCCAGCCACGGGTTTTATTATGGCAGCAGGGCTGTTGATTATCCCTTGAGGTTGCCAAAGTGCATTGCTAGTGCGAGACAGCAGCTCAGCATGGTTGTAGAAATTCCGGCGTGGTTCGTGTTGATTTTACATGATTCTACGGTGTCATTCTTGTGGCTGTCGTATCAAATTGGCAGCGGCATTTGTTTGTATAGTCGGTTTTCCTGTGGAGAGTACGTGAAACGCATATCTCCTGTCTTGTCAGACACGTTTAGCCAGCCAGGGCGTGCATTATTGAAATGTGGCTGGTGGCTGGTGGCCATGGCTCATGGCAGTACCAGTGCAGCAGGGCAGTCTGCTGTGGTTGTGGGGGTTGCGGTGCAATTAGTAACAGTATAGGAATGCCTGATTGTGTAGCGTAGTTGGGTGGCTGGTAGGCTAACCCAGCAGTCGAATTCATACATATTTCAGTGATTATATCAGCCGATGTCTTGTGGCAAAGACGGCTGTGAAACGCGTATCTCCCGTTTAGCTAGCTGGGGCTTGTATCATTGCACCATGGCTGCTGAAAATGATTACGGCCTTGGAGATAGCCAGTGCTTGTACCAATGCAGCAGGTCAGTCCAAAAAAGGGCTTTAAAAGCTGCATTTAGCCGGCGGACTGTTGCGCCAACGCAGCAATGGGCTTTGGCTGCAATGCTGTGTATAGACCGCCAGTGTTTTGCGAGGAAAAGTTTTTCCCAGTTTTAAGGTGCATATTCAGCAAGCGAAAGCTGGTATCTCTGCAGCGTGGACTTTACTTTTTACATTACCAGTGCAGCTTCGCGGACCAACAGGGCTGTATAGAAGTTGCGGAGCGCTTAGGAAAGGTTCTCTTAATTCCTTTTGCTTGTCTAATGTGGGGGCAGCTGTGACAACTTCGCCATTTTTTTGGGAAAGGATAGAAGGTGTATGTCCCTTTTACTTTTAAACTTATAGAAAACGTTTGCCCAGCCGGGGCTTGCAATATGGCGACTTCAGCTGGTGGTTATGGCTGGTGCTTGTGGCATCCGCTTATAGCAGCAGATTTTGCCGGATGTTATTTATTTCCTTCGGGAGAAGAGACATGAGCCGTATATCTATCGTTGGAAAAAATTGTTTAACCAACCACGGCTTACATTCTTTCAACGTAGCTGTGGTTATTGGCCGTTGTGACTGCCAACACTTGCGGCACCGGTGCCGCCTGGCAGTCCAATGGGCTTCTAGAGTAGTGAGCGAGCCTCTGGTACCTTCAATTAGCAGCAGCCTTTGTCAGCTGTAGGGCCATGTTTTTGGGGGAAGACGTGAAACGCGCATCTCCTGGCTCGAATAATGCTAGTCAACCAAGGCATGGATCACTGTAATATGGCTGGCCGCTTGCCTTGGCAATTGTTCTTGCTTTTTTTTGTTGTGTGTAGCATAGTAGTTCTGCTTGAGCGAGCCTCTGTTACCTTCAATTAGCAGCAGCCTTTGTCAGGTATGGGGCAATGTTTTTGGGAGAAGGCGTGAAACGTTCATCTCCCGGTTCCAATAATGCTAATCAACCAAGGCGTGGATCACTGTAATGCGGCTGTTGGCTAGTCTTGGCAACCGCTCTTGCTTAGTTTTTGTGTGTAGCATAGTAGTACAATAGGAGGCTCAAGGCTGGAGCGTTCTTATTTGAAGAAGCGTGTAATGGTTAGCTTTGTCTTGATAGGGATCAGTGACTGCGGGAGAAGAAGTGGCATTTATACCTCCCGCTGATAAGATATGTTGCAGCAGCTGCAACTAAGGGTCGCATTGCTGCAGCATGACAGAGGCTTTTGGCTATGGGCTCGGTGATAGCCACTGTTGGCTTCTAATCCGGCTTCTAAAGCCGTGTGTGATCTGTGAAACCTGCTGGGTTGGTGGGTGTGGCGTCTGAAATGCGGGAGCAGGCGTAAAACGTTCATCTCCCGTTTTCATAAGATGCGCTCATCAGCCGAGGCTGCCATCACTGCAACATGGCTATACAGAGGCTATACAGGTTACAAGGCTTTTGTTTCTGGCCTTGGAAATAGCCACCGCGTCCTACACTAGTGTACCATAGCTGCCCCGTTGGCTGTATAAACTGTGGCGCGCGTAGTTGAGAAGGTGTAGCCAGATGCCTACTGCATCAACTTAGCGGGGGAGGACGTGAAACAATAATCGGCCGTTTCTCAGATACATCAAACCAGCCACGGCTTGCATTACTGCAACATGGCTGTTGGCTATGGCATTTGTGATCTGGGAGAAGACGTGAAACGGACATTTCCCGTTTTAACACCAGCAAGACTGAAAACCCCGTTCCAAAGATATATCAAACTAGCCAGCGCTTGCATCATAGCATTGTGGCTGCTGGCTATGGCTTTTCTGATCTGGGAAAGACGTGAAAACGGAAAACTCCCGTCTCAAAGGTACATCAAACCAACCAGGGCTTGCTTCTAGCGACACAACTGTTGACTAATAGCAGTTGTGATCGGGGAACACGTGAGATGGAAATCTCCCGTTTCAAATGTTTCAAAGATATATCAAACCAGCCAGGGCTTGCGTTATCGCAAGGTGGCTGCTGGCTATGGCTTTTCTGGTTTGGGAGAAGACGTGAAACGGACATCTCCCGTTTCAAAGTTACATCACAACAGCTATATGGCTGGCATCATTGCAGCATGGCTGTTAATATCTGTTAATTATTGCCTTTGCAACGTGTAAGAACACGTGAAACGGAAACCTCCCGTTTCAAAAGTACATCAAACCAGCCAGGGCTTGCATCATTGCATCTGGGAGAGGACGTGAAACGGACATCTCCCGTTTTTTAAATAACATCACGCCAGCCAGAGCTTGCATCATTGCAACATGGCGGTTGATTCTGGTCTTCGCGACCTGGGAGAACACGTGAGATGGAAATCTCCCGTTTCAAATGTTTCAAAGATATATCAAACCAGCCAGGGCTTGCGTTATCGCAAGGTGGCTGCTGGCTATGGCTTTTCTGGTTTGGGAGAAGACGTGAAACGGACATCTCCCGTTTCAAAGTTACATCACAACAGCTATATGGCTGGCATCATTGCAACATGGCTGTTTATATCTGTTAATTATTGCCGCTGCCACTTGTGAGAACACGTGAAACGGAAACCTCCCATTTTAAACCCTGAGAATCGATGTCGGCATATAGATCAAAAATAGCAATGTAGTCAAAATAC